CACACATATATATATATATATATATATCAGAAAATTCCTTTGTGCATTTGATCGTGCACCACAACTTCAAGTCCTCAACTCAACAAACTCTAATTTACCAAACAAAAAGATATCGTCTCTCATTCTGAAAACTGGGATTCTGCCCTCTCTGCATCCTCTCAAAATCACCCAAACCACCAAACCCTAAATCACCCTCCACTCGTTCGAAGCCATCCGCCCTTGCGTGCGCCACCTGCAGACAGCAGGCGTTCGCCCTCGTCGTGCGCTGCTCAGGTGCCCAGGAGACTGGAGATTAGAGTCATGCTCTTTTCAACCTAGTTGTAAATAATAAGTACCCACTTAAGATTTTTGTCATACATAGGGGTGGATCCATAGTTACCTTCGGTGAGGCCTTGGCCCCACCTGAAATTTTTATATTTTTTTATTATATAATTGTAGTAATATATATTAACAAAGTAAATATAAATAGAATAATTTTACAATAGCAATTTTTAAATGAAATTATTTACCAAGCAGGTTTTTTTTATGTTCTTTCGTACTAAATTTTTCTTATTATAATGTCTTATTCAATGTTGTTTCGGGAAATAAATTTATAATAGCTAGAGCTGTAAATCAACCGAACGTTCGCGAACAAAAACTCGTTCGAGCTTGTTCGTGCTCGACAAAAACTCGTTCGTTTATTAATTGAGCCGAGTTCGAATAGAAAATTAGGCTCGTTTAATAATCGAATGAACACGAGCTCGTTCGTGAACGTTCAATTATGTTCGCGAACATTAATTTAATTTAATTTTATTTTATTTTTTATATATTTCTATAATATTTTTAATAAAAAATCTAAAATTTAATATAATATTATTTATTTTTTATATATTTTACATAATATATTTAATAAAAAATCTAAAATATAAAAATATTGTTATTTTATTCTTTTATTTTTAGAGTTCGAACGAACAAATTTCGAGTTAATCAAACATATTTAAAAAATTTATGTATTAAATTATTCGAACACGACCAAACTCGAACTTTGACGAACAACTAAACGAACGAACTCGAACATAATCTTTTGCTCGAAAAATAAACGAAAGAACATGAACACTGTTCGAACGTAAACAAACACGAGCTCGGACAGCCCATGCTCGGTTCGGTTCGGTTCGGTTCGTTTACAGCATTGCATAATACAATATTATATGAGACAATTATTGTCAATGGAGATTAGTATCAACTATTAAATCAACTAAGGAATAGAATTATATTATTTTTTGTATCCAACACATTGAGAAATATTAGTGCATTCCTACCCACGATTGGTACAATTTAATATGTGCATTGATTGTAGAAAAATAATATACGTTGTATGACGCAATTGAAAATTCATGAGATTTTGGGATTATTACATTTATATATATGACTTAATATGTTTGTGGTGATAGATGAACATTTTTATATTGATAATAATACATTTTAAGTCATCAAAATGAAAAAAATACTGAAAGTGTACAATATATTAAAGATATTGCATGGTATTTTAAGATTTCATTTTGAATTTTTTTGAAAAATTAGAATTTATATATAATATTATTTTTTATATCTCATTTGTGCCTTTTGTCTTTTCAACTAACACAAAAATTTGGCTCCACCTCATTCCATTCATTGGATCCACCCCTGGTCGTGCGCTGCTTAGGTGCCCTGGAGACTGGAGGTTGGAGCTATGACTCTTTTCAGCCTAGCTGTAAATAATCAGCACCCACTTAAGATTTTGAACATGCTAAGTTCTTTATGAATCTTGTAACTTGTAGTTGCGCACTCAATCACATTTTTTTGAAATTAAACTAGGGTTTTGCCACAATAAAAATTGAAAAATGGCATGCCTAGCCCGCCAAACCCACAGCCAGAGGCAGGGGCGAGTTGGGCCTGCATTTCATAGGCCGCCACAAGGATGGCGGGCCAACTACCCCACCCTGCCAATTGGTGGGCTATAAAGGCTGGCATGTCCCGATGACCCATTTCGACAGCTCCAGTAACAACCTAATATAGTCAGGCATCACACAATCATGGGGAACAAACATAACACTGCAGCTAAGATTATGCCCCTAATCCTGTCATGTCACTGAGAAGGGTAGACACTAGACACTTTAGGTCGTCTTAGTTGAAGCTATTGATTGTCCAAAAGAGGCATCAGATCAGATGCAAACCACAAACCAGATCAGCTATATTCATGACAGGTAAACATTAATTTGAGCCCATCTTGCTTCTCATCATAAAGAGAAATAAGTTTCTACCCAAACAAATTTCCGGCCACTAAACAATGACATGACTAACTGGATTAAAACAGTACTCTGTTAGACATCTCAATACACCACCCACCCAAAAGCAAAAAGGAATACTTCAACTTGAAAGTGAACAACTTCAGATTGCAATCCACATATAAAAGAAAGGCCTAACTTACTACATTCGTGACTTCAGATGGTTCACTCGAGAAACAAAATTGCCAGGGCCCATTTCCCATGCATGTTACAAAGTCATCAATCTTGCCTTTTCTTCTTCTTCTCCTTCTTCTTTGGGGTCTCTGCACCTTCTTCCTCTGCATGTTTCCTCTTCTTTTTCTTCTTCTCACCGGCATCAACACTGCCGTCATCAGTTTCTGGCTCGGATTGCTTTCTCTTCTTCTTTTTCTCCCTCCTGACAGCTTCATTTTCGGGCTGTAACGCACCATCACCATCTCCCGAGTCCTTCTTCTTTCGTTTCTTGCTCTTTTCCTCCTCATCCGTAATGGGCACATCAATCACAGCCTGCTCAAGCTCACCCTTGCCATCGTCTTCTTTAGAAAGCGATTCGGTTAGTCCTAGAAGTGCGTCGGCTGCTGGATTGTAAGTCTGCAAAAAA